TAGACTGTATTTTTTTAACTTATGTATAGGTAAACATTTATATATATATATATAGTATATTTATAATCAAAATCAGTCAGTAGGTTAGTTGTGTATAGGTTTTTACTGCTTTACTGTATAGGTTTTTACTGTTTTGCTTCATTGTTGTATGCCTGTATTTATGTAACACCGTGGTCCTGTGAGGCACGACATTTCGTTCCACTGTATGTCCCCACATGCAGCAGAATGACAATAAAGCTCAACTTGACTTGACTTGACTTACAATTCAGTCTTGGTTTAATTAAGATTAAAAAACATATAAATTAATATTTTTCTTCAACAAGGTTGGATTAAATTGATTTAAGTGACAGTAAAGATATTTATACTTATTACGAAGTACTTATATTTCAAATAAATGCTGTTCTTTAACTGAGAACCACAATTTTAAGTGTAAAATTTAATAATATTATTGTTACTGTATTTTTGATCAAATAAATTCAATCTTCTTTCAAATAAATAAATAAAAAGCCTTAATTATTTCAAACTTTTAACCACCAGTGTATATAAATTAATGCATGTGAATTAATAAGCAAATTATATTTTTATTAGGCCTATAATATAAATCACTTTCATATGCACAGTACTCGAAAGCAAAAGTCTTCAGATTTACAATGTTTTAGAGTAAGATTGAGAATGATTTTTATAGATTTTTAAACATTTTCTTAGACACGTGAAATCATGGAAGAAAGCCTATACAGATATACATTAACTCTTATCTCATGTCTGCTGAAAACTGCTATGTTATGTACATTGTGACGAATAACGTAAATGGCATTAAAATCTAAGAAATTTGAAAAGGCCGGTAGTAGTTTGCATTCATGAAAATTAATGTCTGTCGTTTAACTTTTTTTTTTTTTTATCGTAACGGTTGGCAAATATTGCTGACTTGTCTCGTCATGTTTAGCTGCTTACATCAGCTCGCATTCAAGTCGCAGCTCAGCGCAGCGTCTGTGAACAGTAAATCCCGCCTTCTACACTTTGATTGGCTATTTCAAACATTTTGACATTGATGAGCGCTTTTGAGCCACTGCACTGAGCACGCAAAATTAATTAGAATTTTTTTAATCAAGTGGGTCGCGCGGTGAGCAGGCCATTCGTCTGTGCCGATGGAAGGATATACGTACTTTTACTACAATTAATTTTTTATATATATTTACGCAAAGGGCCGGCCCACATTGTACAGCGGCCCACCAGGAAAACTCCCGGTGCTCCAGATGGCCAGTCCGCATGCTACATGCTACACACTATATACTGTATTCTGCATACTATTTCCTTAAAATAAAGCAGTATGTAGTAAGCAAACAGTAAATTGAGCAATTTAAGCAGCAGTTGATCTTAGTATGTACATGTTAAATTCTGCATACTACACAGTATATACTGTGTACTGCTTACCATTTTTAAATGTAATGTATGTGAAGCAGTATGTAGTATTCAGTGATAATGGACTATTTAAACTGTACTTGTTTTAAGCTTGTGACACTAAAACAAATTCCTTGTATGTGCAAACATACTTGGCAATGAAGCTCTTTCTGACTTTCTGACTTTACTGTAGTATGCTACAATGTTGTGACATGACCTTGCAGTTTTATATTAGTGCGACGCATTACCATCTCAGAACTAAATACAGTAAATTTGCATTTTTAATCCAATTTTGTATAAAACGATCTTAACTTTTGGCAGTCCACAAAGTACAAGTTGAGATTGCATTTGATATCGCTCGCCATTCATTCATCACTGTCTGGCTTTTGTAATGAAATGGAAGGTCAAGTGGAGCACATTTGGCAAATGTAGCAAGTTATTTCAGTATTAGATGCATACAGAACATTTGCATACCATGCGCAGTATACTTCACTTCTAGTAGGAGTAGTATGGTAAGTGTCGTTATATGCAAAGAGATTTGGGGTCATAGTGTGAGGAGTGATTTTTATTAGCATTCCCAAAAAAAGGCTAGAAGAGCTGATATTTGCGGAAGCAAGGGAGGCGGTTAGTCTAGTGGGATTAGCATAGCAAAAGGAGCAAGATGCAGTAAGTAAGGATGCAGTCTCTGCAGGCGGGTGTTAGCACCTGTCTGGTCGTAGTCATCACCTGTTCCACTATGGCAGTTGGCCTGGTCATCATCACACTCGTCTGATGGCGCGGTGGAGGACGCGGGTGTAGTAGGGGGCACTGTGGGAACTAGAGTGAGAGAGTCAGAGATAGAGAGAAAAAGATACTCATTATTCATGAAAATACAAACTGTGACACAGCTTTCACAAAATAAAGTGACAAGTGATGAATCACCTCACTTCCCAAAAATCATGGCAGCACCAAGGTACGTTTTCATAATTTTTAAAGGTGATTAATGAAAGTCCAAAACCACGTACTTCTATGGTATTTTTTGTACGTCATTCCACAAATCATCTTAATGATTATGCTCTTTCTGTAGTCTTTCCAAGTCTGTAGCCCTTTGATACGGGCCTGTGCGTGACTCTGGCTGCAGGGTTGAGGATGTTAAGCTCCACCCTGGGCCGGTACAGCTCGCTGAAACTGCTGTGCGTCCTCTCATTATGGCTGCCTGTGCCCCTTTGGATGTGGCCTTTGCCTACATCTGCCTAAAGCACTGTGTTTACTCTCAGCTTGTAATGAGCTGCCCTTAAGCCTGTAGGGCTTTCCCGGGATAGAAGGAGAGGAAAAAATGAGCAGGGAGGGAGAGGGGGAAACGGGAGTTGTAGTAGAAGTTGCGCGGGTGAACTGAGGGCATTTTAAAGAGAGTCTCTAAAGCAGAGGGGTCACAGCGAGGTCACCGTGCTGGCTCTAGACAGCATTGTTGATCGCATCGCACACTCCTGCTAGGACTTAGCGCCCTGCTGTTAGGAATGCGTATGGGTTCACTTGTTTGATTGTGAGGGTTTAGCTAAGACAGAGAAAGAAATGGGGTGAATTTATATACACAGTGTGGACAGGCATTAAAAGTGAAATCAAGCATTATCATCCGACTAAAGCTCCCGGTGGGATGCTGTGGCTTACACAAGCAAGTCTCATAGTCGCTCAGAAATCCAATATGTAAATCCACTTAACGCTGCCTCAACAGAAAACACACACACACCCCATCAGAGCTAAACTAATTCAGAAGGAAAGACAGAGGGGAAGACATCAAGGACCTTTCCGTAATCCTTCAAGGCAGGTGGACCAAAGATTATCTTCAGCTGTGAGGGGCCCTGTTACTTAGGAGTGTCACAGGCCCCTGGTTTTCTGGGTTGGAGACATCCTTTGATGCCGCATCTGTGGGACAAGTAATTATGAAGAAAGCTAAGCCGTACCCTATCCTGTCCTCTTGAGTGGATAAGTCCAAATTCAATCAAATAGCATCTGTACTATAAGACCACACACTTGAGGACCTTCAAATTCCTTTTAGATCAAAGGTCTATAATTTTGTTTGTCTTTTGTTCACTTGCTTTGGACAATCTGTCTTTGGCTTGCTGCAAGATTGTCCATTATGTGTATGAATCGCTGTTACTTTAAAAACAATTGTTGGAATAAGCAACACGCTACACTAGCCTAAAGTTACACTATTTGTAAAACAGCAGAGCAACTATTACTGTGACTGAAAATGTAGTCAAAGGGATCGTTCACCAAAAATGAAAATTATGTCATTAAATACTCATCCTCATATAAGACCTTCATTCATCTTCGGAACACAAATTAAGATATTTTTAATGAAATCCGAGAGCTTTCTGACCCTCCATAGACAGCAAGGGAACTACCACGATCAAGGCACAGAAAAGAAGTAAGGGCATCGTTGAAATAGTCCATGTGACATCAGTGGTTAAACCGTAATTTTGCGAAGCTACGAGAATACTTTTTGTGCACCAAGAAAACAAAAATAACAACTTTATTCAACAATTTTTTCTCTTCCATGTCAGTCTTTGACACACGTTCACGCGTCTTGGTACTCTCGTGAATGGTGGAGGAGACTGACCGGAAGACCGGAGACTGACTTTGCGCACAAAAAGTATTCTTGTAGCTTCATAAAATTACAGTTGAACTACTGATGCCACATGGACTATTTTAACGATGTCCTTACTACGTTTCTGGGCCTTAAATGTTGTAGTTCCCTTGCTGTCTATGGAGGGTCAGAAAGCTCTTGGATTTCATCAAAAATATCTTAATTTGTGTTCTGAAGATGAACGAAGGTCTTACAGGTTTGGAACGACATGAGGGAGAGTAATTAATGACAGAATTTTCATTTTTTGGTTGAACTAACCCTTTAAGTCAGTAGCGTCCCTACTTGAGTACTCCTCAGTAGTGGTATGAATGTGGGGTTATGTGTGTGTCTGTGAATGAGTTTTCAACTTACCTTCCGTTTCACAGCCCAGGAGTTCCAATCTAAGTCCCATCCCAGCAGGAGTGGCTCTGTCTGGGTACACCCTAACAAAGCGTGTCAATATAGGCTCCACCGTCCTCAACGCTGGCGTGTCATAGTTCAAATTCCCCTCAAATATCTGCCAAGAACAACGACAGAGTCAGAGACAATAGTTGGCAGTCAAGCAGAGAAAGAGAACTTGGAAAGACATAAATGGGAAAAGATAAAGGTGAAAGCTTTATTAGGAGTATCCCAAAGTTAGTCTGACAGGGAAAGCAAAGAACAGAGCTTTAATGAAAGAGAACGAGTGAGAGGGCACGCAGCTCACACCTTTCTTAACGCTGGAGAAAAGAAAGTCTTCAACTTTATTTCTGACATTGTACGGCTGAGCTAGCGCAAAAAAGAAAGGCTGCGGGCTAACACTGTAGTCTACGACAGCAGGATGCACAGGCTTTCAAAAGCATCTGCCTTTGACTTCACACTTCTGAAGCCTTAAAACCCAGACACTAGGTACTACAGGAGACAGACAGAAAAAAGAAAGGAAAGACGAAAAGACACTCGCCAGAGGTAACAAAGGTACAGAACAAGATGAGAAGTCATGAAAGTACATTAATGGTTTTTAGAGCTAATGTGTCTCCTTTTGTCCTTCAAACTAAGGCAGAGATATAAGGGTTTTAAAAGGGGTCTTTTAGGATTGATATTCCAATCCAGCTTTTTGATAGGGGATAAGGCACATAGTCTATGTTCTACAAAAAAGTCATGCATTTCATGTATTTCACGTACTGTAACATTTCTTTTGAAATTTGTCTGTTTTCACTATGATCGCAAATTAACACTATACTGTTATTTTGTTTTGGTATTATGACTGTTTTTAGGATTACGATTATTAGTAGTATTGTTGAATGCATTTGGGATGTTTGCCCAATATTGTGCTCACAGCATTAGTCTAATTAGTATCATTCTCTTCTCTGTCCATTTAAAAGGCTTCGGGAAGAATACATTATAGCTCCACGTTCAACTTTCTTAACACATTTCCTACAAACAGGCTAAACAAATCTCAGACTAGCGCTTAAGAACCTCATAGTGATTTAAAACTATTCTAAATGTAAAACCAGTTTACAGGTGCATCTCAATAAATTAGAATGCCATGGAAAAGTTCATAGTGAATTGGTGGGTTTTTGTTAAATGTGAGCCAAAATCATCACAATTAAAAGAACCAAAGACTTAAACTACTTCAGTCTGTGTGCATTGAATTTATTTAATACACGAGTTTCACAATTTGAGTTGAATTACTGAAATAAATGAACTTTTCCACGACATTCTAATTTATTGAGATGCACCTGTATGTCTAACTAACTTTCAGCTTCCCTATATCTTACCTTGGGCTTGTTGCCAGTAGCATCCATCACCATTTTCCAGTCAGATCCATTGTTGCTGTAGCCCAGCCGAAACTTCTTCATGAATACCTTGTTATCACGGTGTTTGCCTCCCTGGATGATCAACCCTCTGAACAGTTTCTCCTCACCCAGATCTATCTGCAGCCACTCATCCACATACGGCTGGGGCTGCGGCAACAACGTCCATCCCGAACGGCTGGTCAGAAGACGGGCATTCTCTGAGACCCATGTGCGCTCGGTGTGGGACGAAACTGTGATCTGAGAGTCTGCGATAAAGCCTGAGACCATTCCCAGCATTCCAGAACATGGGTACTCTGTTGAAGGACAAAGATAGTATTAGATTCAAGGAAGTTTCGAACCCTTCACTAGTGACTATCCTGAGATGTGACATGAAAAGCAGCAGACAGAGAAAAATGTATTTACAGTCAAATGTATTGGCCATCAAAGGAGAAAGATAATTATGGACCCAAATTGTGTAGTTTTGACATCCACCAGCAGGGGCTAACAGGGTCATGCTAACCAGCCAAACCCTTATCCCTCGGTTAGACTGTTATCTAACCTGCCACTGCTGTGGCAAAACAAATGTACCATTATTTGTCATTCCAATAAAACACACGGACGCAGAGAAAGAGAGGGTTGTTTGAGAACATAGTGGAAGAGTTGAATGATAATTGAGGGACGTGTCTACAAAAGATTAGATTAGCTGTGAGTGGGTGAGTCTGAGAGGAAGAGAAAGAACGGAGAAGAAAAAAAATGATGTTGGCTGATAAACCTGGTAGAAATGGTCACATCTCAGTGAGCTGGGAAACATTCTTACCAACAACCTAAAGAGGTCACGGGCCATAAAGAGGCTGAACAAAGAGAGAAGGAAAGACATTAATTGCACAGGAAAGACAGATGAAGTGGACAGAAGAGATAAGAAACCTCTTGTTCTCTTTGTTTCTCTCTCTCCATCTTCCTTTCACCACTGACCTTGTGCATTAACTCCTCTGCCTCTTTTTCTCAAGCTACCTAATTAAAACCTTTCTCTAGTGTATGTACCTTTAATTTCTAAACAGTTTCTCGCTCTTATTCTCAATTCTGCTCCACTCTTACCTTCCTTTGTTTTTAATATGCTTTCTTATTCACCTTCCTCAAATCTATCCCTTCATCCGTTTTGTAATCTGTCTTCATCGCTCCAAACTGACTTCCTTTGTTCCAGCATTGATAATAGGATTTTTCACGCTTTGCAATTTGTAGGAAAAGGCAGGTTGAGGGAAATGATCAGACATGCAGCACTGACCGACTGACTGTGTGTTGCCTGTCATGAGTTTCGTACCTTCTCTGACGCAGTGGGACCTGCCAGCGATACCACCGGAATTTCAGTGCATCTCTAATTATTGGCGACATCAGAAATGGATATTATATAATAGACGCTCTTTTGAAAATTTTAGCTATTAAAAAATGATTTTTTTACACAGCACCCCTGCTCTCGACAGACGGCACCCCAGGGTGCCGCGGCACCCCGGTTGGCAAACACTGCCATAATCTACGATCAGCACCCGTGGAGCAGGAAAGCGTCAGAGACAATCTTGGACTAGTCACAGATGAACCTAATGTCCCGTGAAATACCACCAGAACAGAGTTTTCAGTCACAACAGTGCCTTTGTACTGATGTAGGGAACTTCCTCTGTAGTTTTGAAATGGAAAGAGCACTTGTCTGTGACCCCTTCAGAAACTGCAGAGCATCCAAATGTGAGTTCCATTCTCCTAAAACAACAAATGCTCGTGACTTTGATTTTTCCTTTGTTTGTTTGTAGATGTACAGCCGGTGTTGGGTTTATTGTAACCCTGCCAAATTTGGAAAATATCTCTGCGTGCCAAATTGTTTTGGGCCCTGAATGAAAAAAGAACTCCACTGAGGTGGTTGGACCTCAAAGTTTGGAAGTCAACCAAGTTTATTTTCAATCCACTGGCTGGCACTGTCATCAGGACCTGTTTATGGATCTCAGATGGGGATGCATGGTAGAAGCTCCTGGTGTGGTAGACCCTGACAGACACACCCTGAGGGTGAACTGGTCCATGTGTATCGCGTGTTTCCTCTGTTGGTTTGGTCTGTGCACAGCACATAAAGGCTGGATGACCACACACACACAGATGGTTTTATTTACAAACAGCGGGAGGAAGTTTATTAATGGATGTGTGGATGTGGAAAGCCTATCAGACCTGAACAGTGCACAAGACCACCTCCTAACTGCCAGCAGGCATCCTCTGTTGGTAGTGTCAAGGTACAGCGCTTACAAACATAGTGCCCAGGAATAGAGTTTGTGGAAGTACCTTGATAAAAGTGATATGCAACTTGGTGAAGTGGTATCGGATGGTAATATCATGGTACTTTTAATACTTACCATGGTAATGAATGGTTATCATACTGGTACAAGTACATGGTCTGGGTATATGCCTTGGTGCAACCATGGTAAAATGGTAATAGTATCACTTGATAATACTTTGGTACATTGATAATAGTACTTGTACCTAGCTACTAAAATGATGGCGTTTCTGTGGTACTCATCGGGTACTTTCAATGTTTTTGGATATGTACCATGATATTCTGGGTAGTACCATGGTAAATGTGCAAAAGAGTATCAAAGTATATCTTCAAAATATGTTTAACCTTGTCCAAAACACATACAGTAGTAATACCATGGTACTCGTTAGTAAGATTCTTGGCTGCATCATCACAAGGGATCCCGATGCACACTGATGATGTCACTGGGAGGCCTCCGCTCTTGTGATGTGTTTAGAATGCGGTCTGTTCACCCGTCCAAAACACGACTGCAACAGCTGCGCTCCAGAACTGCGGTGAACCGCACACATACACACACACAAATATACAACCAGTGCTAAATCTGTGTACACAAACAGACTTTAAAAATAAGACCCTATGCATGCTGAATGTAAAGCTGATAGACGGTGTATGATGGCAAACACGCTCGCCCTCCTCCTACACATATGAGGAAATGTTCTCAGCGGGAAGTTGCTGATGATATGAACGCTTTTGCAATCAAAGCTCTGTAGGGTGGAGCCATGTCAAAACATGCAGATGAGTACGCAAATGAAGACAGGGCCAGCTGGGCCTGACTGTGGCTGGTGGGTGTAGATCTCGCCGTGTGCAATAGCATGTGCAATATGTACATCTGTGTGTGTTTTAGAGAGAGGCTGAGAGGTTAGAGCTCGGCGGAGGAGGGTAGAGGCAGAATTGGGGTAGAAGTGGAGAGGTTGCAGCAGTAGCCGTGCACGCTGTGCATGCCATTCATTTTGAATGAAGTACATCCAAACATGGGGAAACATGAATACACGGTCCTTTTCGTTGACGTGAACACTTGTCTATAACGCAACAGCGCCTCCAATATTGCACATGCACGGTTCGCACATGGCTTTCAGAGGCATGAATAAACACTTCTCCATACGCCTGCCTCCAAAGCAAGCAAAATGTAAACTATTTAATTGAAAGATCATGATGGATTGGTGTGTTGACAAAACCCAGCTTCTGAATCTGAATTAACACTCTGCTTCTAAAAATTTTTGATGTATGCCAGTTGTGCCGTTGACAGATTGTGTTGGAACCAACCTGAGATTTTGCATCCATACACCTCGAAGCGCAGGGCGATGCCGGTCTCCCAGGAGTAGGGTCGGATCCGGAGATATCGCGTCAACGTGGGCTTGGGGAACATGGCTTTCGCTGCATCAGTAGGGTTGGTGTTCCCTTGGAAAATCTGACAAACGAAGAACAAACACATTAATTATTAACATGGTTTGTTTAGGCGAGTCACCAAGGACAGACCTTTGAGGCCTGGGACTCACCTAACACTGTGCCCCAGAAACAGAGACAAATGACAGGAATGTGTTTAGATCAGTGGCTTCAAATGTGAGAAACTAAATAGAGCATTAGATTATCTGTGGAGCCAAATGGGTAGCAATACAAAGGCCACTTTGTGATGTCAGAGTCTGGGTTACAACTAGTGCTGAATGTTTTTGACGCTTCAGTTACACAATGGTTTCTGTTGTTGTTGCAACAGACATAGCGATGAATCAGATTGTGTTACGTCCATATGCACTGATTCTTGCTGACAGCTAGCACATGTTCTCTGTGAAGGGAGGATCTGGAAATGTGTCGAAGGAAAACACAATTGTTACAAGAAAGACTAATTAAAGCAAAGGCAACCTTGTTGTTCATAGTATCTTGTTTCACAGGTCACGATGTAAAGGTCAACAGGTTTTTAAGTACATCTTGAAAGATCTCTCTTTTACTTCCTCAGTTTCAGATTTTTTTTTCTGAATTGCGAGGAGAGTTAAGAATGAATTGCACTTGCTGTTTTATCACCTGATTCACTAAAATAATTATGCAAATTTGAATATAATTGACTTCTGACCTGTTGGGTAAAAAGCCCATAAGTTATGTAAGATTGTGTCATTAGTGATCAGAAACATTTATAATTTTCAATACACAATTCTGCATAAGACTTTACAGTTGTTTGAGCATTGTTGTCTTTTATTCAGTGTCCTTATAGATATTACTTCAAAGAAACAATCAGGCATTACTACAGGATGCTCAAACCCACAGTCTGATTTCTGGAAAATTGATTATTGTTTATTCCGTGTTCCTTGTTACATACATGCATATTCTGTATTTATTTTAATTGCTTAAACAAAACAACAACAAAAGAAGCTGATTTTCAAGTATTCATGTACTTAAATTCTTAAGCACTTCATGGAACCCACTTGTGTAAACCCTATTAATCATTTTGCTGTTGCCAACAAGCAACAGGTCAATCTAGACCACTTACTACAGTACTGATTTTACCCCGGTTAAGGGGGTTAACCCTCTATGAATGGTAAAATCCCTGCAATGCACAGCCTCTCTCTTAGCATATTGCTTTAATATCAATACTTTAAACTAGAACTAGACAAGGTCAAACTGTAAGCCGTACAGGATGGCCAAGTGTTGCTAAGCCCCAGTCAGGGCATACAGCCATCCGTCTATCCCAGAATCCATACTGCTAATCGTGTCCGTGGTCACTACTTTTCAAAACGTGTGTGTCTGGGAGGGAGACACATGAGGAGCCATCCACTATCTTTAAATGTCACGCCAATGCTCTGCTCTACTGCTCTAAGTAGTAAAAAGGCTTTCCTTTGTGCAACAACCCCGCATCCGAACTGCTGTTTCAGCAGTCTGTAAATGGGCCCTCACCTCACAAAAGCACTTTAGAGCCAGGCAGACAGAAACAAGGCACCGCACCTTAAAAATGCAAGCTCTAAAAAGAGAACAGTGTACTTTAGTTGAGGGTCGACACAGAAATTGGGCCTTTGGGTATATTTAAGCTTACTGTTACTTCCAGGCATGAAGATGTGTACGCACATAGACACACACACACACACACACACACACACACACAAGCGTCTAATTGGCTTGCTGAGCTTGACAGGTCTATTTCAAACCTAGAGTCTGTCAAGCAGACGTAAACATGCATATGAGCGCATCTTGCACTCACAAATGAGTAAAACAAAATCATAAACTTCATACACTGGAAGTATCTCAAAATCTATGAAGCTGCCTACAGAGACAGAATCTTTGGTTCAGGTAAATCTCACAATGCCCAGTTCACATTTCTGACAAAAATCAGGTGAAAATTAAAATGAAATTGCATTTTGCAAGAAAAGTTGTTTTATAATAATTTCAGATTTGCATTGTGACTATTTTAATGAATTAAAAAAGTAATAAAGTAATTATATTAAAATATATCATGTTTTTTCACATTCCAGCTGATTTGTTTCTTGAAAGTATGAAATTCCTGTAATAATTTCAATTTGGGGAGAAAAGGTTGGGGGAAAAAAATTTAAATTTTGTTTTTATTTTTCTATAATGGCATAAAATATGATCTGGACTTGTTCTTGACAGGTTTTATGAGGTTCATTCAGATGCTTTTCATTGTTCTTTTAGAACCTGTCTTGGCTATATGATCCCCAAAATGCTGTCTGGGTAGGTAGCTCACTAGGTTTTAAGACAGAGCCCATGTGTCAAATGTAATAGGCATGTCTTCCTGCAGTTAACTTTTCTGTGCTGAGGGACACATTTCACCTGATGGCTAATCGATCAGCGTCTCCTCGGTCCTCATTCAATCCTTCATGTGCTCAAGTGTGTCCAACCAGCTGTTCAAACACTCTAAACCTGATAAACCTTCTCCTTCTCTCACTCTCTCCATTTACGACTCTGTTTATTAACTCTTTTGTTCTTCCTTTCAAGGAAAAAAGCCCTACCACAAATGTTGACATCATTCCTTAAAAGGAAAAAGAAAATCAGTCAGACTACTGTGGTGGCTTTGGAGTTGGAGTTTTTACACAGCTTGCAAATTCAGTCTTTTAAGAGGGCGGATTAACATACCACACTGGGCACATGATGGAGTCAGAGAAACACAAGCCCTGCAGAACACATGAGCGTGGCATTCCTGTCTGGATCTGGAGCATGGATTGGTGTAACGGAGGCACACGGTGACAGCGCTACAATACAGGAAGATGTTTACAGGGCTTCCTGCCAAAGAGTTCTGGAAATGTACCTAGTTACAGATTACTTCCATGTTAGGCTGAGAAAATAAAAGCTTCTTTATCGTTTAGCGGAAAGTGAGCTGTACGGAACCAAACTTGATCTTCTACCAGGATTTTGTAACACTATTTCATTGTTATATGAAAATGCTTTAACTGTTAACGGAATGTTCCAGGTTTAAAACAAGTTAAAGGGTTAGTTCACCCAAAAATGAAAATTAGCCCATAAATTACTCACCCTCAAGTCATCCTAGGTGTATATGACTTTCTTCTTTCAGACGAATCCAGTCGGAGTTATATTAAAAATGGTCTTTGATCTTTCAAGCTGTTTAATGCCACTCAGCGGGTGTTGCATGCATCAGTCCAAAAGAAGTTAAATAAAAAGCGCCCATCCATAAAAAAGTGTCTCACACGGCTCCGAGGGGGTGAACAAAGGCCTCCTGTAGCGAATCAATGCGTTTTTGTAAGAAATGATCCATATTCAAAACGTAATTTTAATGTAGCTTGCGCCAACAGTTGTACACAGAATCAGCTCCGGGCGGATGACGTATGAGGTCGGCTAATTTTCATTTTTGGGTGAACCCTTTAAGCTTTATCAACCACTGAAAATCCTTTCGACTTGTTGTTTAGTTTAAAAACAAAAAAAACAAAACAAATAAAAACTGTGTTTACACTGGATGTCTATAGTTCAAGGCATTTTGGAGAGCTTAAAAGCATAAATGTGCACGTTGTATTTTTGTCAAAGTTCTTATAGCAATTCTTCCATACGACTTTTTGTTTCTGAGACCCGACATGCTAACATTGCTTTAATCAGTGGTTCTCAACGAGTTTCAAGATGACTTAAAATGATCTTAATTGGCCCCCTCAACAAGTTTATTTATTGTTTGATTGATTGATTGATTCAATCATGGTTCCCACTGTCTTGGAAAACCTGGATATATGAAAACTGTAATTTGTAGACCTGGAAAAGTCATGTAAATCAATTAATTCTTGACATTTTAAATACATTTAGTCATGCCAAGCTCTAAATATACAGTAAAAACCTCTTTAAATATGCAATCCAGTAAATCATGAACAGAAGTCATGGGGCTTTGAATATTGTTGTGGATAATGGTGGATCTTGAAGTCAAAAAGGTTGAAAAGCACTGGGTTAAATCAGAAAAGGGATGCATTGCACCTTTATGAAGGACCATGAAAGGAAGCAAATAAGTCACCTTCTGTTTTGGGCCATCCTTAATAGTTATCCAGTCTTCTCCGTTTGAGCTTACATCCACCTTGTAGGACTTCACATAGTATCTCTTGCTGGTCTCTTGAGAGATGGCTCCCTGTGTGCCGATCGCCGAGACAAAGCGCAGGAATCCAAGATCAACCTGAGGAGAGACGGAACAATATTACTCCTATATTACTCAGAACAGAGGGAGTATTACTTTAAAAGTGGCTTATCGGGTGTCACATATTGAGCTCATAAGACCCCAGGTGAATATTAGAATGAAAGATTAATTTTAATGAATCCCAATTTAATAAAGCATATTCGATGTGACGATTTAATTTCCTGAATGGGAGACAAGAGCTTATTGGATGAGGAAGGATATTTAACTTCATAGAGCCTGTGTCGGGGAAAAAAATAATTTGAAAGGAAACGTGTATTTCAGACGTGTGCCGTATTGAAAAATGAATGCTTCATAAAGAAGTCATGAGTTGTGATGTCATTCCCGTGAGCGTGCGGTGAGTGCGTCCGAGAGGCAGTCAGGAGAGTGTGGTCAGGGGTTACTGGAAGAGAAAACACTGTGGACAGAGATGTGGGTGATTTGGTCATATCCAGGATTATCAGAGCTAAAATACACAGGATAGGATGTGTGTGTGTGTGTGTGGGGGGGGGGGGGGG